ATGTCACGGTCAATATATCAACCACAAAGTGGGGTCAATGTTGCAGGAAGATTCCAGTAGTCATTTAGTGCATTTCCCTTGTAACCTGACAGCATGTTAGTTGCATCCGTGGGATCTGGAGAGCCTGGTGTCAGATCCCCAAGCCTAAAGCTCTGAGATCTCCGAGTGGATTTTAGAGTAAACTGTATGCACAATGGCAAAGGGAGTTTCTTTCTGGGGTGGAGAACAGGTTTAGGGAGTAGAGTAGGAAGGAGGGGCTGCCGCTTTTTACTAGCCATTGTCTCAATTTTAACATTTGTCAAAGAAATCATCTCTAGTTGTTTTCGAATGGAGAACCTACAAGCCCCACTGCTCAGTTGGGCTTCAATATTCCTACATTGTCACGACTGCTCCTGAAAATAATTTTTGTTAATTTGTGAAAGTGCAGTTGAAGGCACATTTTTGTTTGATATGCCATTGTTACCATACCAGCCAATGTAACGGCAACCCAAAAGTGCTTAGGATTTGAGATTCCTCTTCTGTTCCCACTCCATGACAAATAGAACGTCACTCAGATAAATATGAAAAGTGATGACTTTATTTATGTTTTTCTCTTTGCAGTCAGGTTCACCCACAAGAAGCCCATTCTCAGCCACCCAAACCCTCTCAAATATTTAGGGCATAGAATTACTTTTTGTTTAGTTGGCTCGGGAAAGATGAGAATTTTTAGATCTCTGTATAAGCTGCATTCCAGTAGCAATGGTGTTTATCTTATGACTGAGTCATGAATTGTAAACTTTTTTTTAAGGTAAATAAGGGTGAAAGAGGATAATTTCCAGAAAACGATGGGAGTTGGGAAGAATGCTCAGAGGCCCTAGGTTTATAGCTGTTTCCTGGTTCAGTCTACTTTTTATGTCATTCTTAGAAGTGGTTAAGAAATAGGAATTTGGGGGGCAAGAGGGAGGAATGAAGACTGTGGGCGTTAGGGAGGGAATGACCTCAAGACCCAAAGTGACGAGAATTCCAAAGGAGGGGGTGGGCGTGAAAGTCTCCAGGGCTTCCAAGAGCAGAAATCCGCTAAGACCAGCACTGGAGGCAGCGGTGGGTGCCTGTGGAATCTGCACCATTACATTCATTTTGCATGATTAGTAGCAAACCAGGCTAAAAGAATTAACTGAACCTTCAGAACAGACGGTTCCTGGGTAACAGGATGTCCCCTCGTCTTGTTTATTCAAGAACAAACCATGTCTTTGAAAACACTAAAGTCAGAACACAGTATCCTAATTGTGTCTCACCATCTTTGGGAAGAACGGTTGCTTTTAAGCCAGTGTTTTTCAAACTGTGGTTGTGACCCATTAGTGTCATGACTTAATTTAAGTGATGTTGACCAATATGTTTTAGTCGAATATATTAATAATAGAAAAACAAAGTGCATCTCATATAGTTTTGTGAAATGTTTTAATCGTGTGTACGAGTAAGGGTATGTCTGTGCCTGGTTGTAACGGAAAATGTAGTTCTTACTGTGGATGAAGATCCAAAGAGTAGAAAAATACCGCCTCGAGCAACTTTAGAAGGAAAAGAAGGAATTGATCGTGGTATGTAACTAGCAAAGTGAGCACACACTGCCCAACTTTTTTTATAGGTGGTGCGTGCGGGTGTGTGAGAGAAAGCATGTGAGCCGTGGCGGGCTAGGCAGCAGCGTACTTTCTCCTAAGAATTAGAAGTCATCAGAGGCAGAGGTTTACTTACGGAAATGTTGCTTAGTATGATAACTCAGAAAATCTGATGTGCAAATCTACAGCTTCACATCAGGGCGCTTGAGATGAAGAGATGTCCCTCTTGCTATTGACTTAAAATTACAATAAATTCTTAAATATATATTTTTCCAAGTCTCAGTATCTTTGCCCAACAATAGTAGCATCATTTCACATGGTTTGTGTTATGAAGAAAAAGTTTCAACTGACTTATTTATGGTGCTTGGTTCCTCAGGGGGCAGATTTCCTGAATACATATATTTCCTTCACAGAAATCTAGAAAATCACCCATATTGCCTTATGTTTCCAAACAAACTGAAAAATGTGTCTACCTTAGCGTTTCCTGTCAGCCTTTCAAGTCTCCTATCTGGTAGCGAGGTAAGTGTAGAAAGCTCAGCAGACACCCCTCAGGGAGGCCAGAGCGAGTCCCTCGATAGAAAGACGAGGCACCATGATGCTCAGAAACTCAGAGACACCATGACCCATTAATGGAACATTTATTAGTATTTGTAAGGCGCAGACTGTGATACCACACAAACACACACAAAAGAACAAAAACGGACAGCGATGTGAAATGACAGGCATCTTCACCAGAAGTCTGCTTGCAGCCTGTGAGCTCGGTCGTAGGCAGTACACTCTACTTGTCAGAGGACTTGGGGACCTGGGCTCCATTGCCTCTGACACAATGCAAGGACCTTGTTCTTCAGTCATAGCTGATGCTCCAAGCAGTTTTCTGTACACACACATCGTTGGCCATATAGCTTTCATTATCATGTCTTCTAAGGAAACAGATAACCGCCTCCTCCACCACGGCATTGCAAACAATCAAAAGCACACAGGCTGCTGAGGCTTTGTGCAGAGCTGGCCTGAAAATGAACCCACATGACAGGCACGTGACAGGCAGTTGGCTACAAGACTTACTTAAGGCAGAGGAGAGCAACAGGAACGTTCCCATGTTTAATGAACTAGAGCATGTTCAAAACCAAGCAGGGAACTACCAACTGCTCTCGTCTTAGAAGACATGGCAAGTTCTTTTCCTCATTTGAAACCAGTGCCCCTAACGCTGACCAGGTTCTAAAGTTGACAGTGTTACGTTTACCTCTTCGTGTCCTCTGATACTTTGATAGGGGTTTATCTTAGGCTGGGGGTTGCTAACTCTTCCCAAACCTGGATTTCTGGGACGTACTGTTTTTTCAGCAGGAACCTACAAAGTCTGTGTTTATACTTGACTGAAAGAAATGAATCTACAGCATCTTTCGTCATAAATATAATGCCCTAGGAGAGGATACAGCAGCAAACCAGACAGACAAGGTCCCCAGGAGTCCCAGTACCCAGTACAGTGCCTGGCAGACAGTAGGCACTTAATATTCGTTGAACGAACACATGAATGATGACTGGGCTGAGATTGTTGATGTCACAATAGTGTTCCCACTACAATGCTTTTGGGTCTCTGAAATCACACACTTCCATCTCATGTGTTAGCAATGGTATTTGATTTTACTTGTCCAATGTTATGTTTGAATTTGATTTATACAAATGGACCATTACAAATAAATACCTTAGATTTCCTCTCTGGGTACCTTTTTCTGGCCAAATCTTCATACTAAAGAGACATTAAGCCACATTGCATTATCCCCAATTTGCCTGCAAAGATTTACTAAAATAAAATAGATTCATCTTATCCAAGTTACAAAAACAAAGAATTATGAAAGTATTTTGCTGTACAAATGTAGAATACGATTATTGACCATAATGTCACCTTACTTAGTTCAGTTCTTCAATTGTACTATTGCTTCAGACTTTCACAAATTGTCATTTTTCTTTCATTCTAAATATGATAGTTCGTTCAATTACCAAGGAATTATTTTTCAATTAATAACTACTTCAATTCCTTATAAAACTTGAGCTAACACTCTTATTGGTTTTTTATCTAGTTATATCATTGCTTAAGAGTCCCCATTTTCAAAAGATTTGTAATAGCACAGGAAAATAAAGAAAAATCTATTTTATAGGCAAATGTAGTATAAGTATTAGATAATTGAGTAGCTTGTACATCGTAGCCTATTATCATTCTCAGTGGCTGACGCTAATCAGTTTAATTGCTTTTGAGTTATATATTTTAAAATGTGATTAAAACACAGCCTCACAGTAAATTTAAATGGCTTATTAAAGGCCTTTACGTGGATGGCATGAGTATTGCATGTCAGAGATGAATGGTGTTTCTAACTTGCTAGCCACTTGGGTCAAGTTTACTTTAAGCAGGTAGCGCGTTTATACAAGTAATGGTAACACAAATGGTCTCTTGGGAAAAGCTGTTCGTGAGGGTTTACCATTTTTGAAGTATGCTTCTGTATATCTTCTAAGTGGGCGTTTTATAGGCATGGGCCAAAGCGCCTTCAAACCATGCTCCTTAACACAGGGGTGACTCTGGTTGATGCTGCGAGAACCCTCAGACAGACTCATGGGGTGTGCGTTTGTAAGGGTGAGGCTGAGGGAGCTAGGGCCAGGGGTTTGAGCCACCTTCACTTGAATAACATGCTTTAGGACAAGGACCGTGCTCCTTAAAGTATGGCTGGGAAAGGCAGCAGCATCTTCGGCACCTGGGAGCCTGTTGGAAACGTAGAAACTCCACCCCAGAGCCACTGAATCAGAATCTGCGTTCAAACCCGATGCCCTGACGATTTGCGAGCGCGTCAGAGTTGGAGAAGCACCGCGCTTACCCCAAAGCCTTTCCTTACTGGTGGCCGAGCTCAACTCATGGCGTCACTTTCTCTTTCCATCTCGCCTTTAAAATCATCCTCTTTGGAGGATAACATCCCCTCAGCCAGTGCTTCCCTTTCCTCCTCATCACTCCCATACCCAGTCCCCAGACCCACATGAATTTCCCAACATCCGATGTCCTTGCCTTTATTAAGAAACCACTTCTCCTGCTCTCCACCTGACGTCGTCCTGGGGCTTCCTGCTGCTGAATAACCTTGGGAAGGTCAAGGCATGGTAATGACTCCTCCCAAGGCTACGGATTTATCCTGCTTTTCCGTGGCAGAGCCTCCCCTCCTTCGTTTATTCTGCACTGGGGTCCCATCCTCCTTAGTTGTCCGCCAGAATCCAATCTCCCTTTTCTGTTTTAAATCCCTTCTGTTCTTGGGGAGGAATTTTTTGTCCCGGTTTCTGCTAGTGGGATGTTGCCTTCCTCTAACCTAGCTAGAGTCTGCTTTGCTAATATTTGTCGGGTGCTGAAAGGACAAAGGGGAGTCATGCCAGATGTTCGGGGGAATTGCAGACGGGTTTACTCAGCAGAAGGAAATGGTGCGCAGTTATAATGACCCACTGGGCAGTCCCCTGAACGCACTTCCTTTGGCCCCACCTTTGCGCTGAGGGGCTCAGCCTGTCCCAGGTGCCCAGAGGCAACTGGACATCCAAACCCAGACCCAGACTGCCCAGCCAATTGGCCCCTAGAAGCAATTTGGTCCCTCTGTTCCAAACTGTGCTGGGGTGAAGGGCTGTGCAAAAAAGAGGACTGGGCATTTAGAAGCGCGTTGCTTACAAATTCAGGCTCTGTGGGCTGGGGGTTTGCGCAGCCAATGGTCAAGGGAGCATTTTTGGGTCAACCAGGTGAGGACCCCTTGAGGCTCCTCTGGAGCGATCGGCACCCAGAAGAGATTTTTTTTAATCAGAGGAGACTGGCAGGGGGAGAAACAAGATTGCTTTCTGGCCATAGTGAGTCCGGGGGCCACGTTTGCAACTTCCATTCTTCTTGAGGCCAACAAACCAATTCTTCTCTGCGTGCTTCTTGGATATGTAGGTGTTGTAATGGTTTTCCTCCAGCCTTTCCAGGAACAAACATTCCTCATTTGGTGTTTGCTAAAAAGACAAAAGAGAGTAGAACTGTTAGTGAATGAGTTCAAATGGGGTTTCCCTATTTACTAGCTGTGTGACCTTGGGCAAATTACTAAGGTTCTCTGTGTCTCAGTCTCAAGGAAAATTGGGTCAATGATGGAACCTATCTCAGATGGTGGTCATGAGGACTCGGAACAGTGTCCAGCACATAACGACCCTTTAGTCTGAATTTGCTGTTATGGTAAGCTCCCCTCCTTTTGCAGTCCCCAGGACTCTAGAATCTCCCACTGGGGAGATCCTGCTAGACCATAAGCACTTTGAGGGCAGGGCTGGATCTTTTGTCTCTATAGTGATCTGGTACATAGGCATGACCATGTAAATACATGCAAAATAGGTAAAACCAGACTATGATATAATGGGTTTTTTTTTTTTAAAGTTTGGACTTGAAGAATAAATGAAAACTTACTAAAATTCCTTTTCATCCTACTGATTTTCACTAACGATATCAGTATTTTACCTTAGTATTGTTATGAACAAAATGCTGGTGCAAAATTTGCCATAAGCATAAAACATATCCTGGAATTTATATAAGTTTTAAAAAAATGAAAATAACTTATTTTTTGCTACTTACAAAAATATACTTTAAAAAAATCACAACTTTACTTAAAAAAAGAAAAACTACCCCAAATCCCACCACTCAAATATAGGCAACTGCTAACAGTTGATGAATATCCTTCCCTACATCTCTTTATGTACATACATAATAGATAAGGCTATAGGAATATAGATTTATGATATTACCAAAATGGCATGTTGTATCTGCTGTTTTTAAAAATGGTGATAAACCTATGAAAACATATTAAATATCTCTAGCAAGAAAAATGCAAATTAAGAAAATATTTGTTGTATGTTAACTATACTATGTGCAAAGACCAAAAACATATACAAGTCTTCGTTATGGTGAAAGTGTGGAAAATAGGCACTTTTGTGTCCTGTTGGTGAGATAAATTGGTGGAAACTTTCTGAGGGCAGTTTGGCAATACGTATCGAAATTTTAAACATGGATTACCTTTGACTCAGCAATTTCACTTCCAGGAATTTACCCTTGGGAGATAGTTGAGCAAGTATAAAACCATATTTTTGAAGATAGTCTTTGAAGCATTGGATATAAGGGCAACAAATTGGAAGCAACCTGTATGTCCATGCAAAGGTGATTGGCTAAGTAGATAAAGGTACCTCTGTATAGTGGAATCTAGGACAGCTGTAAGCTTATTAAGCTGAAAGGTACCACAACATATTAAATAGTGAAATTACTTGAAAAATATCTACCAACCATTATTCTGTTTACTTATAATTCATCTGTTAGAGAGTAGGGAGAAGTCAGGTTTTGAACTTTCTATTTGTCGAGATTTTAGAACACGTTTATTTTATTTGGATTTAAAACAGGTCTATTAGAACTCTCACGCTGTGTGTTCAGGGAACTGACACATCTGACTTTCCTCCTTTCCCAAGTCATATGATCTGTACATTCTCCCTTCGCCCACAGTGGTCGGCGATTTCCTTTCTGGTGGTTTCCAATCGTATCGTTCACTGTTCTCTACCTGTGGGCATGTTAGTCTCATCTAATTATGAGCCCTATTGAGGAAAGAGATGGAATCTTGTCGGCCTTGTGTCCGTCCTCCAGACACAGAGCCTTGCAATAATAGGTACTCACCAGATGGGTAATGAGTTTAACTTGATTCTTGAGATAATATAAAGCAGTCAATAAAGTTAGCTTTTATTAGTAAGAAACGATGTAACAGGAAGTATCCTGCTTCTTATTCGTGTATAGTCTAGTGAAATGACAAGTGGGTGAGACACTTTAGATCATTTTGGAACAAGATGAGATATAAATATAATATTTCATTGGATGACTCTGCTGCCTCTAGAGGAACTGAGTCCAGACACTAGTGTTTGATGCTCATCGTCTGGGGTGGAAGGAAGTGGGCAGTTTGGGACCATGTGTGGGTTGCCCACTCTCCCGTAGAGAGGGCTCACTCCGTGACGCCCCTCAGTGGGCGTCAGGCCAGTGTTCTGTGACGAAGATGAGGAAGGCCACGTTCCCCACCTGATGTCTCTCTATTACGCTGGAGCAGCTGACACACAAAATAGCTGAGTCACAGGCTGAGTCAGCAGGCCAAATCAGAGGTGCTTCGTCTCTCCACGAGCATTTGTCAGCCCTTGTTATGCACTTGGTACAATGCTGAGGGCATACGGATTAACTATTGATTCATGCCTATTATTTTAATTGTTTCCTTTTTAATATTTAGCCTGGTTTTTTCCCAATGACATAGGTGACCTATACTCACTGTAAAAAATTTGGAAAACGCAGGAAGGCATTCACATGTTATAAAATCACCCATTTACTATCCCCAGAGAGAAATATATTAATATTTTGCTATATAGCCTTTCAAACTTATTTTTTAAAACAAATATATTCTTCCCCCACATACACAAATCTGAATCAGGATGGATTAATATCTAAATTTTATTACAAGCATGAGGTAGAACTTTGAGATATTTTAGAACTTTTCTTTATCAAGGGGGAAACTTTAAAAAATCTTAAGGATCATGTACTATGGTCATGTTACAGGTGAATTATAGTGACAGCCAGGCCTATGGTAGGAGAAGGGAGTGCCTGGAGCCTGGAGGAAATTGGATGCAGGGAGTTCTCGCTCAATATTTTTATAGAAGTAAAAGGTTATAATAAACATCAAAATTGACTTAAAGGGGAAGAAGCCATAAAACTGTAACACATAACATAAGGCACAGTCAGGGTAAGGGACTCATAAGCAGATTATTTGTCTTAGAGCCACCGTTATGCCCGCTACCCTGTGGGTGTGTTCTGGGTACTGTCTCCCAGAGCCCTCGTGAGCCCTGTGTGATGTAGTTACTCCGTCACTAGCCCCACCTTAGACAAGGCTTGGAGTGGGGAGGTAACCTGCCGAAGTGGTAGAGGCATGAGCTTCAACTGTGAGTCTGAGATTGAGTGACTGGTGGGTGGGTTGATTTTAATACCAACTGGGAAAAATCTACCTTAAAAAAAAAAAAAAACCTACTCCCTATGTAGTCGTCACCGTGTGTGCTCCCAAGCCCTTCAAGCTGTCCCAGCTGATCCGTATTTTAGATGCCATTAATACCTACCACTCTGATGATTCCATCTTCTGACCCCTTAGTGGGCGGGGAGAGAAAAAGGAACCATGTTCACATCTGGAACCTTGGCTGAGATGACAGCTTCCAGGGAGGGATTCCTGTGCCCACTGTCACTTAGCAATTCGATGTAAGTGAAAGGAAGCCCCGGACTGAAATCCCTCCTCTTGGCTGCCTTTTCGTAGACATCTTCATAAAAGGGAAAAAAGGGGTCTGGGTTGGGTATGAATTACAGCCACACCTTAATTATCAGATGTTAGGATACAGAAAGGGTATCATTGGCATCTAGAAATAATTTCAAAACCTGAAGTTATTAGTTTCAGTTAAATTCTTCATTCTCCAGTTAAAAGTTTGAGCAGAGATAAAACAGGAGCAAAAGCAGATTGCCTCTATTTCTATTCTTTTCTCACAAAGACCGACATATACTGGGTCAAACCTGTATAAGGCAGTAACTATGAGAGGGAAAGAGCAGGCCACGTGGAGGGTTTTAGCTACTGAATGAACAGTTTGACTCTGTCTCTCAACGTGGCTCATTCATCCTTACATCCGTTTCAGTCCCTAACGTGGTACTTAGACACAGGAAGCATTTGATAAATGTTGAACTAAATTATTAAACTTACCATCCTTTTAGGCGATCCTTCCAGCATAAAAGGGGCTATTTTCAAAGTTTTATGCATGACATATAAACTATTACAATCCGGGCTCTGCAATATCTGTAAAAAGCCTTAAGAGACACACCTATAGCACATAGTAGGCACTCAAGAAACACTTTTGGAATAAATGAATGAATGAATGAAGTGGGATTAGGTCTTCTAAAACGAGTGACTGAGGAGTTACGAAAACATCAATCAATGTTTCCTCTGAGTTTATACGATAACACATGTGAGTATTTTGAGAGAATACCACAAGAAACTCTTTTATGTTTGTGCCGAAAATAAGGCAGAGTGAGGGTAGGAATCCTGGAAAAAATAACAAACGAAGACTAATCGTTGCTTTATAGTGTGCATCACTCCATGTAACAAGATTTCTGGAAGCCTCGAGCCTTGGCCGCGTCTGGAAGCATGTCCGCCTCATACTTACTGAGCCGTATAAAAGCCCGTCAGTGTCCATGGCCAAGTACTGGCCAGTCTGGGTGCTCTTGATGTACACCTCCCCCACGCTTTCCGCACTGAGCTGCAGCTGAACTAGAATAAAAATAACACGGGCAAAAGTAAATAAACACTACGCTTCTGCCGATAGGGCCCGGCAGCCAGGACAGTTGGCCATGGAAAATTCTGTTCATTCATTTCACAGAGCCCTCAACGATGAGCCTTGAATTAATCAAAACACAGAAACACAGTTCCTTTTTCTTTGCCCTCCAAAGAAAGCTGTCCGTTGGGAGTTATGTTCTTGCGAGAGGGAGGAGAGACGATGGCCGGCTCGCTGACCTGTCCACCCTGTCGGACACGACGCCTCGGTGTGCACCGTCACTGTGCTTTGCACCTTTCCCTGCCTCCCCCTCTCCCTCCGTCTCTGCCACCCGGAGGAAAACATATAACGAAGGTTCAGTCAACCCGCCAACCTCAGTGGCGACCCGACTGGGGTGCAGGCAGAGGGGAAGTCCCCAGCTTCTGCCTGGGAGGATGAAGCCGTTACCTGGAAACGCAGTGGTGAGAACAGTGGTTCTCAGCTGGGGGTGATTTGGTTCCAAAGGGGACATTTGACAATGCCCGGAGGAGACAGTTTTGGTTGTCATAACTGGGGGTGGCACGCTACTGGTATCTAGATGGTGGAGGCCAGGGATGCAGCGAAACGTCCCACAGTGCACAGGACAGCTCCACGGCAAAGAACTATTCAGCCCAAAGAGTCCATGGTGCCCAGGCTGAGAAAGCTGGAGGTGGAGGGCAGGCACCGTGAGTCACACTGAGTCACGATCTCCCCGTTTACGCTCATCGATACCCCCAGGATGCTTTGCCCAGTGCTGGGTACATAATCGGAGTCTAATATCCACTTGATAGTTATTAATTGGTTCGTGCACCCCAGGGTGCCTCTGGAGGAAGGTGCTTTGATGGTTTATGTTTGGCAATTGGAATTAATTCTGGACTCTTCTGGACAGTTCCTTTTGATCACCAGCCTGTTACAACCATCATTATGATTAGGAATGAAATCTAGACCCAATAGCTCTCCAAGAGGATGAGGGGACATCTCTAAGGGTCAGCTTGTCAGAGGCCAAGGGGCAAGAGAGGCCAGAACACTGGGCTTTGGTTGGCAGATCTAAACCCCTCATCGCCTTTTCTTTGTTTTCATTTAATTTCTTTGAATAGGAAATATACTTCCGTGCTTCAAACTTGGAAACAATGTCAGAGAAGACAGTGAAAAGTCTTCCCTTCCCACCTCTCCTGTCTCCCACCATGAAGAGGCCAGGTAAGATCCTTGCCCTTGTGCCAGAGTGTACCTGTATGTGCCGGCGTTGGGGGGCGGGGACACAGAAACAAACAAGGACACTGTACGTGTGTCCTTCTGGAGAGACCGTATGCGTACAGTGCCAAATACATATTCTCCCTCCTACATTTGCCACACAAATGGTAACATAGTATACGCACAGCTCTGCACCTTGCTTTTTTGCTTAACAACTAATCGGAGATCTTTCTACATCAGTACTGGAAGAGTTAACCTCATTCTTTTAGTCCGTTGAATTGTGTTCCATTATGTGGCTATACCATGATTATGTAACCGCTTCCTTGTTAATATGCCTGTGTTTTCTTAATCTCTCCTTGCTTTCCTTCTCTCCTGATTCATCCTAGGGGTGAGACATCGTCATATCACCCTTACTGAAGGTGCAGTTCTCTTGTCCCCAGAAGTCTTTGCTAGACTCAGGACTCCTCTAGCTTCCTGTGCTAAATGGAGTTTAATTCCCAGGAAGGGAACTGGGAGCCACTGATCCACTTTCCCACAGGTCCTGCTGTTTTGGGTTAGCTCTGAGAGTGCAGTCGTGAGAGAACAGGCTAACGGGCCTCCATCGCGATCTGGTCCCTGCCTTCTCTAGCCTTAAGTCGCACCACTTGCTCACTTAGTGGCTCTGTCCCCCTGTTAAACTCTTTTCAGCACGCCACGCGCTGTCCCACCCCGGGATCATTGCACGTGCTGTGCCCTTGGTCTGGCACCTTCCTCCTGCAGGTATTCGCAAGGTTGGTCCTCCTCCCCCAGGCCTCAGCCTCGATATCCCCCCTCAGAGAGGCGCCCCCCAATGCCCTGGGACACGCTGTGCATGGTCCTTTCACCCTCACCCTGCTACCCCTGCCAGTGCCACCCAGTCCCCACATCATTCTCTTTCTCTGCCCCTTATTTGTTTCTTTCATGGCACTTAACACAACATATGATTATTTTATTATTTAGGGGTTTACTCGTTTGTTTCTGCCTCCCAAAGAGAATGTACACTCTGAGCGGAAAGGCAGGATCTTGTCTGTCCTCCTTGGGTCCCAGCACCTCACCCAGTGCTCTGCACACAGGGGACAGTCAGTATGTATTTGTTGAATGAATGGTATTAGACTGATATCGGCAGAGGTTTTTCTGCTGGCCGGTAATCAGTAAGTTGCGTGCTCTGAATTGTGTTTCCAGTACTGCTCTGTGAGTGCCGCAAGATGGGGCTGTGTGGAGAGGTGTAGGGCTCAAGGCTGGGCTCTGCCATCAACCAGCTGGCTGCCCTTGGCCAGGCTGCTGAACCTCTCTGGGCCACAGTCTCCTTATCGTTATAACGGGGCATGTTTGGGTTCAGTCTCTATGAAGCTCTATGAAGCTCTTTCCAGGTCTACCAGTCCGTGAAGCGTGTAGATACCTTTAATAACAAGGCCTCACACAATAGAATATTATTTGGCAATAAAAAGGAACAAAGTTCTGAGGCATGCCACAACATGGATGAATCTTGAAAACATAGTGCTAAGTGAAAAAAAAAGCAGCACAGAGGACCACTATTTTATGATTCCATTTAAATGAAATGTCTAGAATAGGCAAATCCATAAAGACGGCAAGTAGGTTAGTGGTCACCAGGGCCTGGGCTGGGTGGAGATGGGGAAATTATGGCTGAAGGGTCTAGGATTTCTTTTTGAAAATATTCTAACATTGACTACGGAGGTGGTAGCACAACTGTTAAGAAAAGTCATCAGAAAACCCACTGAATTGCGCACTTTAAACGGGTGCGTTGTATGGTATGTTACTTAAATCTCAAGTTGTTTTTAAAAAATGTGCTACATTTTCATTGGGCTTTATGGTTTTCAGAGAACCTTCACATGCATTTTTCTATCTATGTCTCAGCACGATCGTGTATGTTTAAGAGAGACTAAAGGAAGGGGATCACCTTTATTGATCACCTACCATGTGCTAGGTGTCATGCCAGTTTCCATGTTGGTATAAGTCGTGTAGGACGACACAGTGTGGGCTCCAGAATGCGACGGCACGAATTCAAACTCCGCTTGGCTGTGTATTAGCTGTGTGATCACTGGGCAAATTATTTACCTGTTTCCTTATCTATAACGGTAGTTGTAAGGTCTAATGCATGGAAGGTGGCCAGTGCTATTATGATCATGTCCTCTGCTTTTCTGACCTCATCTGCTCCCTGGAGGCAGGTGGCACCTGCTCCACCCTAGAGGTGCGGTGCTGAAGCTTGGCGAGAGCGTGTTTCACGCAAGGCTGTACTTGTAAGACGGGGCAAACCATGGGCAGAACCCAGGCTTGAGTATTCCAGCTATCCTGCTTTTTCCTCTTTTTCACGCAACCTCTGGGCTCCAGTTATGAGATGGGTTGGTCCCAGTCCAGCCACAGTCCCCCGCTGGGACCCCCTTGTGTTCAGATCAGACACACATAATATGGCAGGAATGGGGTGAGGTTCGCTGCCTGGGAGTTTCTGCACCGATCACCCGTATAGGTAGGTATTTAGTCAAACACATCATAGGTGCTACAGAAATCCCAAAGGGCAGGTCCTTTAGGTCATCAAAAGCTTTTTTTTTCCTAAAAGCTCTTTCATTTCCTGATTATTTCTGTTCTGCTGCCTTAGCTAGTACTCATTGGTCTTGCCGTGGGGGTAGGTAGAGTTGATTTTGCCATCTGCAGAATTCCAGCAGGACCATGCGTGGGCCCCCCTGAGGAGCCGAGAGCCGGAGGCCTGCCTAGCACTGACCTCAGCCCTCAAACACGAGCCCCAGCACCAGGACTGCTGCGCTGGTGAGAGTTCGTCTCAAGAGTTTCCTCTGTAAATATTATTTCTCCAGGATGTCCAAGTTTCATAGCTCATTTTCACTGGATTTCTTTCTGGCTAAGTTTCCTTAAACATATATCCTCTGCGAGCAGGGCTGGCAGGAAGGAGCAACACCCAGCCTGGGCTGCTCGTGTAGCTGACTAGGTGTCCAACTCTCGAGTGTGACTTCATCCCAGTGTTCCAGACCTACATCCTCTTGCAGCTGCTGCTGAGGACGGGCAAGGAAGGAGGGAGCGTGGGAAAGGGGGGCCTCAGAAAGAGGGGCCTGGCCACGCAGCAGCAGAGCCTTCCTCTTGTGGCAGCGCAGGGAGGGGTGGGGGAGGGGAGCTGTTCAGCCCACACGTATGCATCTGCCAGGTCTGGGAATTGTGCTCGGTGACACACCTGGTCCCCCATGATTAGGGATACGGACAAAGGAACCTACGAATGAGAAAACAACACGATAACAAAAGCTCCACTTGATTTTGAGCTAAAAGCAAACGAAAGTGCAAAAACTACACAAAAATCCTCCCTCCCCCATATAGGTGTGAAAAAACAAATTGTGGGAGAATATAGTAAATCCTTGATGGAAGTTTTGGGGAAAAAACCCACACACAACCATGTACATAGCTCATGAATATATATGTAATAAAAAAATAAAAACTGTACACTAAATACAGACCAAATTCACACAAGTAGGTGCTCTGGGGAGCAGAACAGGAGTGAGACTGTGGAGAGGGATGGAGCGAATGCTTCCTTCATCCTAATGTTTTATTTCTTTAAACACAATGCTGGGCCAAGAACAGCCGGCTGGCAACACTGGCTGGCCCTGGTATGGAGTTGCTGCTGTCTGCTGGTGTTCCGTCCGTGTCTAGCGCACAATTTTGTATTTTACCACATGTATATTCATGAGCTATGCACATTGTGGTTTTTACAAAACTTTTATCAAAGATTTACTACGTTCTCCGCGAATTC